TGATGGCTGAGGTCTGAAATCAAACACATTTCTCTCACTGAGCCCTGGCTCTGACAGCTCTTCTGTGCTCGAGGAGCTCAGATAATCCAGGCTTTTCAGGGCTTAAGACAGTTCTTCAGATGGTGTAGAAGCWGTGTGTGGAAATAAAAACTCGAGTCATGTGTGTGGTGCAACAAAAAGTGAATCCCGTTTGTGTCATCCAGTGTTGCTGTGGGTAGACACTTGGCAGATCTCAATTTTCTGGGCGTTTTTGGGCACCGGAGTCCTTATTTTGATTCAGATTACATTGCTGAAGGCCTTCTATATAGCAAAGAAATTGTGAATTTCTTTAGCAAGAAGTAAAAGTGAAACACTGGAGCTTCCCCCGTGAAACCACAGGGATTTTGACCACTCAGATACAATGACAACCAGTTGTTGAACACTGACTTATTTCTTATTCTTGTGCATCACACATTACTCATATTTCTGCCTYTTGAATTTTATTTTGTGCTAAGTAATATTAAAACTTACAGCATCCTTGTGGAGAATTGGGTAAAGAGTTCCATCTGATGCTGGTTAGAAGTSATACATACAACCACTTCCCAGAGCCCTGATTCTTCTGCTCTCCTTTTAAYAGGTTTTGCAACTTACTGGGACTGTGAGTCATCACGCTTAAATAAATTTTCACTGCCAAGAAGCTGCCTTAATGATAGGATGACCTATCTGCCATATTAGTTGGTTTATGGCGTTCTTTTCAGTCTACTGAAGCTGAAGATAAGATTTAAYGTAGAGCTTCAGTGGTGAGACCACAGAAGCCTTTGATGGGTGATAGGAGATGTGATGTTTATACTTTTAAGCCTGTCAGTTTGYATGCTGAATTCTCTAGTATGACAAATCTGAGGTTTTGTCCCCCCTGGCTTCAAAATAGAAAGTAGAATCAATTGGATTCATCAAATACACATTTTACAGGAATGACTTTAAGGGCTTAATATTTTCCTTAAGTCACATTGTTTAGTTCCTCATAAAAATATCCTAAAATCTAAAGAATCATAAGAAAAAAATAGAGATGCTTTTGCTTGCAATGATAAGCTAATTGTGGGTTCTGAGATGTCATTGATGTGTAAGTGTTGTCATGAGTTTTGCTGTGCCTTCTGGGTGGGTGGTCATATGGATAACAGCATCAGCAGCTAATTTCAGTCAGGGTGAATGGGAACGGGCTTCATCAAAACACCCAAACAGCAGTTTATTAAACAYTGGAGAGTTTTGAAATGAGATATTGAAAATAGGACTTCCTGATGCATATTCCACTGTTGGTTTGATTCAGTGAAAGACAGGAAGCATCCCTGAAACTGGAATTCAATGTTGTCTCCAGCAAATCATTCACACACTGCTCAGTGGGAAAACCTGTAGGTGAGGGTGGATTCAGTCTGTGTGAGAAAGGACCCCGAAGGTGTTGAGGGACTGCAGGGTGGGCTCATTTCCAGGGAAAGGCAGAGGCAGCCTGGACTTGGCTGTGCCRTTCAGGGCTGTTCCTGCTGGAGCTCCTGCTGCTACACCCACGGCTGCTGCAGTGGAGCTGTGCTGGGCTGCGTGTCAGGCTGGAAYCGTGGGGAGGCTGCGTCCCAAAGCAGCAGACAGATTGGAAAGGAGCGACGTGACATTGGCAGCAGTGGATGTTTGGTCAATTCCCGCTGCTAATGAGGTAATTAGCAGCAGAGCCAAGCAATTCCATGTGATCTGTGTGTGGAGACATGGAGATGGGAGATCATAATCAGAATGGCAGTGAGCAGGCCAGTGCCAGTTTTCCAGGAGCTTCCATGTATTGGTGAGGAAAAACACACCCTCAGGGTATCACAGTTATCATCTTGGCTGGGCACAGATGTGTGCGATGTCTGTGGAGTCA